TTTTTTTTTTTTTTTATTATTATTATTATTAAAGTTTTCGTCAATTCGATACGTTCGAAGAAGAAAGAGAATGAATGAATGAATGATCCTAGGCACACGAGCAGCCTTTACAGTAAAATAGAAATACCACCCATGATGAAATGATGAATTTCTGACATCAATATACGATACCTTTACAGTATTTTTCAATATTTACAATTGTCATTATTTACGAGTCTTCATTTCGTTCAATGAAAATGTCTCTCTCTCTCTCTCTCTCTCTCTCTCTCTCTCTCTCTCTCTCTCTCTCTTTCTTGTAAGACATCTTACGCAGAGAGAAAAAAAAAAGAGAATAAAAATTTTCTCTCGTTCGAATAATAAAAAGAGACTTGTTTTTTTTTTTTTTTATGTATTTATTTAATTCTTTTGAATTGTCAAGAAAAAAAAAAAGAAAAAAAGAAGCAAACTTATGACGTGAAAGGAGATGATATATAAAAAAAAAAAAAATAATAAAAATAAAAATAAAATAAAAAAAAAAGCTATTATTCACGTAAATTTAAGGCACATCTTCCTTACACATTTTTTGTTCATTCAGTTATACATATTTTTTCTCTTCTTATTCTTCTTCCCTTTTTCAACGTACCACCCTGGAGATTTTCTCTTTTTCCTTTTCCTTTTATTTGTTTTTTTTCCTTTCCATAAAATATTTCTAAAAATGCATACCCCATGGAGATTGACGAATGATGGAAAATGTAAAATATTGGATGCATTATAATCGTATACTTAACAACTGCATCATCGTCTAGTCAAACATTTTAATACTTGACTCTTGTATATAATATGATACAGCATCCACATCTGTAGAATAATCTTTCTCACTCACTCTTTTTACAATTATATATATATATGTATATGTATATATGTATGCATATATATATATAGGGATATCATCACCATCATCATCATCATTATTATCATCATCATCATAGTAGTTGTCGTCGTCTTCGTTATAGGTAACACATACATATATATATAATAAGATACATACATGCATAATACACGACGTATTGCAACGAAGTAGAATATGTAACGCAGAAAGATACACACATACACATATATATATACATCGATGAAACTCGCGATGTGGGTATCTGTGTCAAGGACGCGCGAACTGACCTGTAAAACGGCACTTTACGTTTTCTGGATGGTACTGTCCTACATGTTTTTCTCTTTTCTGATTCAATCTCTCTCTCTCTCTCTCTCTCTCTCTTTTTCTCTCTCTTTTTTTTTATTTTTTTTTTATTTTTTTTTTTTTTCACTGATACCACACCTCCTTCACCTCCCCCTTTGTAAGTAGTCCCTCGCTACTCTTTTTCTACTACAGTTTTATTTAAAAGTCAGTTATATTTTTACCTGTGACGTATGCTATGAGAGTTTCGAAAACTCTTAATAGGTTTCTTAACGTAACACGAAATATATTATACAGTTTTATTTTGTTTACATTTAATATTAGTAGGTTTCTTTTTTTTTCTTTTTTTTTTTTTTTTAATTTTTTTTTTCTGTCCCTTTTTCTTCTTCTTCTTCTTCTTCTTCTTATTTGTAGAAATGATGGTTTCTTTCTTTCTATATCTATATCTATGATATTGTTATGTTGTATTTATATTTTGTAATATTGTAAAAATATAAATTAATTATAATATAAATAATATAAAGTAAATTATATTATTTCATTTTATTTTATTTTATATTATATTATATTATATTATGTTAAATTGTAATATAATAACTTTCATTTTTACATTTTAACGCAATAGTTTCTCAATTGACTAATATTATATTAAAATATAATATAATAATATAATTTATAATTCTCTCTCTTTCTATATTTATATCTGTCATATTATAATATTATATTTATATTGTATAATATATTATATATTTATAATATATTATATAATTTAATAATATACATTCCAAATTATATATTATATTATTGTTGTTATATATCTATCAAAGTGTTAGGGAAAAATAAATATGATAATGATTTGAAGGTTAGATTGTTGTATGATTAATGCCAAGAAAAAAATAGTTTTATCTTAAAATAAAAATTCTGTTTAATCCTTAATTTGGTAGAAACTAGGAATGGTGTTATTACAATTATTATACAGTTCTCCCCTTACATATCGTTACCATTTCATTTTCAAATTTTAACGCAATAGTTTCTCAATTGACTAACATTATAAGAGAAATACCTTTGACTATGAAATCATTAGACTATTATGTTTATAGAATAAAGTAAGAAATAAAATTTGCAAGACTTTTGAAATATTTAAGTATAATATACTCTCGTTAATACGAAAATCTATACCTATATCTATATCTATATATATATATTATTATTATTATTATTATTATAATATATATATTATACATATACAAACATTATTTATATATATATATATCACAGCAACACAGAAAGTACGTGTAATCGTACAATGAGTTAGATTTTACTTTTAGTTTCGAAAATGGGATTACAGAGTGGGGTAGGCCTTGGCACACTTCACACAGCGAGACGCGCTGTTGGAAGAGAGAAAGAGGGGGTGGGGGTGGGGGTGAGCAACGAAGACGACGATGACGACGGGAGGGTGGCGTGTGGTGATGGCAACAGGGTGGGGGCAGGCAAGGGGAGGATCGTCGAGTATTACGGGGGTAAGGGGGAGACCACGGCTTTTATACTTTAACGTTGAATATTACAAGTTATAGATATTACACCTATGTACCTCTCGAAAAAATAAAATAAAATAAAAAGGAATGAGGGAAATGATGCTTTTACGATTTAACAGAATTTGTTCAGGGAGGGTTGAAAATGAGGATACTTTTTTTAAGGGATGATAAAAATTTGTTTAGGAATGAAATGTTATTTTATAGTTGGTTAAGTAATAAACAAGATGGTGGAAAGATATGTGTTAAAGTTGGTAGGATGAGAATAGGTAAAATACTAATCGACCCAGAAATAGAGTAATTCCGATAATGTTCGCATAATTTCTGTCCATACGGGCAAGAAGTGTTCGTTGGTAGTTTTACGAGCTCATGCTGTTCATGTCATGTATATATCGGACATACTTGTATATATATATATGTATATATGTCGTTATCGCGAGTTTCTGCGAGCGTATCATCGTTGTCGGCCAGTAGCGCGGAATACCGGCGTCTATCGCTTATGTGTGTTGTTAAAAAAAAGAAAAATATATATAACTGGCCAAAGTATGGATCGAACAACGCGGGACTTTGTGTCTTTGATTTTTTTTATTGATCGTTATTCGTCATACTTCTTAGACCAGAAGAAAAAGTAGTAATAGTAGTAGTAGTAGTAGTAGTAGTAGGACTTATTGGAGTGTACATTTTCGAATAATCGTCGTATTTGTTGTTTCAAATGGGTGAGAAAGATATACAAGAATTGAATAAATCAATCGTTCTTTAGCTTAGCTTTTATTCTCGATCAATTCGATTGAGATTCTGTTTTCTGAAAGGCAACGATATAAAATACGACAACGCGACGACGAAGAGCCTTCGTCGTCGATGCTTTGCGTTTCTGGGTCATGGCTTTCACTTTCTTTCGTTCCTTCTTCCGTCGTCGTCGTCCCTTTCGTACGTTCCGATCGTATTCTCCTTTCGTTTTCGTCTCGAAACCCCTCCCCCACGTTGGTGGGCTCGTTCACAATCAGTAAGCAGCGCCACTACCGCCACCGCCAATCGGTCGCCATTTTTTCGCCGGTGCTTTTTTACCTGCGCTAAATATCCATCGTCTTGTAAGAAGAAACCCACGGTCAAAAATAAAATCCCCAGTCCAGGTATTTTGTATTCTTTCGCGTTCTGCTCTCTGAACAAAGGATTCCAACCATTACTGTTGATTACTCTTATTTTCATTCTTTCGATTAATCGATCGATAAGGATTCATTTATTTCAGATACTTCTCTAAAAACAAATAACAATTCTATATCGATCTTAATCTATTTTCTGATAAACTCTCGAGACTTCTACGTTCTTTAACGAAAACACATTTCTAGTGTGTATTCGGACACGCGACCAACAAACAACAGGGATGACGACACGCACTTGCGCGTGCATTCATGGATGACGAGTAATAAATAGGTGTACATGTGTATACATTGCGTGCAGTATTATGCGGCATAAGAGGAACGACGATCCCAACTTAATCGAAATAAATAAAGGGATAGAAGAAGACAAAATGGCTAAATTGCAAGAACCATCTTGGAAGGGTTGAAAAGGAAGAAACGAAGAAAGCAAGGAAGGAAGGAAAGAAGGAAGGAAGGAAGGGCGAGAAAGGAGGGCGGCATGGCACACTAATTGCGAGGAGGAGAGAGAGAGAAACGCGTGTCCACATACAAATAAAGAAAGAGAGAAAGAGAGAGATAGAGAAATAGCAACGCAACGAGAGAGTTGATGTAGTATGCGCGAGTTAGATGCGATGGTGGGCGTCAGTGACGGCGTGCGTGTGCTTGCTTACGGCATGTATACGTGAGCGAGAGCGCCGCAGAGAGGGAATATAGTGCTGAGAGGGTCCGAGGGGGAGGGAATGAGGTGGATGAAGAGGAGAGGAGAGGAGAGGAGAAACGAGAGGGAGAGCGAGTGAGCAAGCAGGCGAGCAAGCGAGCGAGCGAGCGAACGAGTCGCGGCTGCGTCATGTTCTTAGCGAACTGGGTCAGTGGGTCTCCCCACCTCCTTTGCCTCGTACATCTACCACGTATACGCACACACTGAGAGCCACTGGCTCTGTCGGGGAGTGCCAACGGCGTTGCTGTTGACCCAGCCCCGGCCCGTTGTCTCGCAACCTACCACGCGCGCCTTGCTTCGAGCCCGTTTACACACTCGTCGTCCCTTACTTCTCTCTCTCTCTCTTTCTCTCTTTACTACATGCTTTGCTTTTGCTTTTTTCATTCCCGACTCTATCTTTACTGTCTCTTTAAAGCTTGTTCTCTTGCGCTTGATCTCTCTCTCCATTCCTACCTCTTTTGTTTTATTTTGCCCAAAAAAATAAGCATACCCTTCTTCTTCTTTGAGTAGTTTTTKGATTGGTATTATTCCTTTCTACAAATTCGTGGCTTATTTATAAAAAATTATGTCTATCCTTCAATGCCACGCATATTTAAAGGTTTCCAAACACGCCATTAGGATATAATGATCATGAATGCAAAAGAATTACTTCAAAAAATGATCGGGTAACGTGTCTGTCTGTATGTCTTTACTGCTGCTGTATAATTTTGTACGTATACGTTTTGGGTGGTGATATACGTGTCGGAAGGTATCAAATAATAGTAGTAATAGTAGTATCAGTAATAGTAGTAATAGTAATAGTAGTAATAGTAGTAATAGTAATAGTAGTAGTAGTAGTAGTAGTAGTAGTAGTGTAATAGCAAAAAGGAGATAAAGAAAAAGAGACGCAAGGGCGCAGAGCGAAAAGGGGCAAGAGCGAGCGAACCGGTAGGTTAGAGAGTGGACAATTCTTTTGCCGCCGATATAGACCTGGTTCCGTAAGTAGGTCATCCCCTCTTGTGGAATGGCTAAGCTAAGCGGTGGTGGTGTTCCTCCCCCTTCGATCGCACCAATCCTCCGTCCTTCCTTCCCCGTTGTCTCGCCCACCGTTGTCTCCTCCCACCACTGGCAGCATTAACAGCAACAGCAGCAGCAGCACCGGGCCAGTACTACGAGTACTGAGGTACCACCATTCCGACACAGCGGCGGCAGCAGCAGCAGTTAAAAAGTAGTGGTGGTGGTGATGGAGGTGGAGAAGGTAGGATGGTGATGGTAAATGGAGGAGGTGGTGGTGGTGATGGTGGTGGTGGCGGGCACCTGGCCGCGCGCGCGGTGGCATGCGCTGCTGCTGCTGCTGAATCACTTTCACTTATGCCGTGCGCTGTGTTGGATATACGACGACGTGCCTCCCTTCTTTCCTTCTACTCCTCCTCACCATTACTCCCTCCTCCTTCACTCCTCTCCCAGCCCCTTCTCTCTCTCTCTCTTGTTCTCTTGCTATCTCTCTGTCTTTCTTTCTTTCTGTTCTCTCTGTCCCTGTCTACTACTATTCGGCTCGATGTATTCTCCGTCTTGCTCGTTCGTATTCGCTCACCGTCCCGCTCGTCGGTAAAGGGACACGCGCGCGTTCTCTTCTCTGTACCTACCGAAACGCCAAAGGAGTCTGACATACACATAGTGCGCGACCCGTTACTACTGTGTGTAAAGAGTCATCCGTCCATTCCATTGCGCGCGCGTACCTAAATTAAATAAGTGTGTGCTGCTCCCTGTTCTACCTTATTATTCTTTTACACCTTCGATAGGTAATTCTCCCGTTCTCCATCCTTCATATCCTTCTGTATCATCATCCTCCTCCTCCTCCGCCTACTCATTCTCCAGCACCATCCTATATTTTTGTTTGTGGTGTCACACCAGCCACAAACATTATCATTCGGGGAAACTCCTATCCTTATCAGTGGCTATACACAAAAAGCAGAGGGTAAGAGAGAGACTGAGAGAGAGAGAAAGAGGGAGAGAAAGAGAAAAAGAGAGAAATACATCGCGAGTGCGATAATCGTGTCCGCTCCTTGTCGCGTTGGCCAACGATATATACGTGACGCGTATACCGGCACTGTGCAGTGCGGTGCGGTACGGTACGGCGCGGTACGGTGCGGTGCTGCGGCCCGGCACTCTCCCCGCACTTAGACGGTTCTCTCTCTCTCTCTCTCTCTCTGTTTTTCTTTCTCTTCTCTTCTCTTCTCTTTTACTCTCCTCTCTCTCTCTCTCTCTCTCTGTTTCTCTCTCTCTCTCTTTCTCTCTTTCTTGACTCTACTCGTGTATGTCTTCTACCTACTCTACTGTACCTACCTACCTACTCTGGTGTCGACGACGGTAGGGCGACGGCAACGGTGGCAGTAGTAAAGAAGGGAAGGGAGGGGTGGGGAGGGGAGAGCAAGCCCTTCGGGAAAGCAACGAGGCGAGAAGACAACTCTAGTCGCACGCAGATAGCCGAACTGAAAAGTCGTACGCGTCCGGTACACTCGGATCCTTCCTTCCTTCTTTTTCGCCTACCGCGCCTTTTCTTATATTCTTTTACTTACATATAAATACCTTTTTCAAGTTTTTATTTTTATTTTAAATCTATTATTTCTCTTTTATTCATTCTGTCTCTCTTATATCGTGTGTTTTATTCAGTTTGATCGTTTAATCTGTGTCTCGCGCAAATGTTTATCAATTCATCCCCGTAAACGAGTGCCGCAAAAGTTTGATTTCTGAAATACTGTTTAAAACTATTTCGGTAGAATTGGGGTGATAATTACTAATAGTAATTGCTATTAGTTTGAGTACTTTTTTCTTTGAAACAAAGTTTCTCCAGTAGTGATAAGGGGTGCAAAAAAATTGTACTATTGCTCGAAACGCACACACGTGCCGCGATACCGACGACCGCCACCTCCCTTTCTTCTTACCTCATCTTCGATACGCGCGCGTTCCTCGCACGAGATATATCTCTATTGGATTACAGTGAGAAGACGGAGAAAGAAAACAAATATTTAGAGAAAACAGAATATATATATATATAGATATTATCGAAAGCATACAAAAAAAGAACGAAGGAAAATTATATATATATATATATTTTTTTTGGTGGTGCTCTCTACGTGCTGCTAGTGGGTAGCATTGRATGTTTGGTGGTGGTGGTGGTAGTAGTTTGTTTTGGGTGTACTTTCCCCGTTCCTCATAATCAACGGGAAAAATAAATATCTTTGATAGTGTGATATATATAGTGCTCTGGTGCTTCCTTTCGTTTTTTTGTGCTGCTACACGCTACCTGGTTGGTGTTCATTTAAAAAGCTACGAAGAGATTCATTCTAACTCGTCGTGGTTGATTGTTCTCTGGTCATCGTTACATTATATTACAACTACGGCGATGTTTCGGACGTAGTTCAGTCTTTTTGTTGAAACAAACTCTCACACGATGCCCGATGATTTTTTGAGTGAAGCTGTGCCGCGCAAAAATAACGTGACTACTCGGTGATTGATAATTATCGACTTGATCGTCGTTAGAAAAAGAAAAAAAAAGGAAAGAAAGAGAACAAGGGGGGGACCAAGTGTATTTCTTTTTTTCTTTGATATCCGCAAACCCTGTTGTCGTCATCATCGTCGTTACACCACCGTCATTGTCGTCAATCATCAACTTTATCGTCCTGTTTGAAGAATTGCGAATAAAACGTTCACGAGCATCGTTCACCTCCCCTAACTTTGACCGTTTTTCCTAAAGATCACGGTCACCTCCTATATCTTACCTATATGCGCCGATACGCGAAAACATTATTCCGTGAGGTCCTTGCGCAAGGGTGATATGTTATTGGAGATGGATCAACATCCGGGTTTGATGTCCCTGAATATGTCACCGTTCCATCTAAGTCCTCAGGGCAGTCCCCCAAGTGCGACTAGCGCTGGCCAACCGCAACAGCAACAGCAACAACAACCTCAGCCGCAAGCTCAATACAGTTCCTCGCCTTATGGAAATTGCGTTCAGAGTCCACCATCTACGATGTGTCATCACCATCAACAGCAGCAACAACAGCAACATCAACAGCAGCAACAACATCAGCAACAACATCAGCAACAACATCAGCAACATCATCAACAACAACAGCAGCAACAACAACAACAACAAGCGCAGTCGCATTCGCAACAACAATCGCAACAATTGCAATCAAGTCATAGTCAAGCGCAATCTCAAGGTGGTGGTGGCATCTCCGGATTTGATGCAGCTTACTTTTATGGGACCGCTCTCGAGGAGCGATGTCCAATGTGCGGTGATAAGATGGCGGGATATCAATACGGTGTTCTCACTTGTGAATCCTGCAAGGGTTTTTTTAAACGCAATAATTCGCCGTGCAATAGCAAGAAGGTTTACGCTTGTCTGTTCTCGCCGACAGGGGGTGGAGGAGGAGGTGGCGGGGGAGGAGGAGGTGGCGGTGGTGGTGGTGGTGGGAACGGGAACGGGAACGGGAGTGGCGGTAGCGGGGGTGGTGGCGGTGGCGCGATCGGGGTCGGGGTCGGGGTCGGTAACGGTGGCGGTGGCGGTGGTGGTGGCGTTGGTGGCGTTGGCGGCACGTCATCCGCCCTTGAGAGTGGGCTTTGCGGCAACAAGAAGGTATACACGTGTCTGTTCTCGCCAACAGGGACTGGTGGAAGTAGCAACGGAGCTGGACCTGGGGGCAACGGCAATACCAACGGTAATACTACCACTACCAACAACAACAACAACACCAACAGCAGCAACAACAATAACAACAACGTGCCAAGTGCCGGTAGCTCGTCCGTTCTCGAAGGTAGTGCCGGTGGTGGTAGTGGTAGTGGTGGTAGTAGTGGTGCCGGTGCCGGTGGAGGAACCAGTGGTTACGGTGTTAGTACCGCAAACTCGGCTAGCAGTGCTGGTGGAGGCAACGGTCCCGGCAGTACTGGACCTGGACCCACTGGCAGCAACGCGACTACTGGGACCTCGGCTAGTAGCGGCAACGTTGCTGCCGTTCACGCCGGTACCCTCTGTCATCCCAGCTTGGCCCAGGTCGGGGTCGGAATCGTGACTGGCTCCCTACCATGCCCCTCTGATTTTCCCGACACCAAGGACATCGTTATCGAGGAACTCTGCCCGGTCTGTGGCGATAAGGTCTCTGGATATCACTACGGATTACTCACGTGTGAATCTTGCAAGGGTTTCTTCAAACGCACCGTCCAAAACAAGAAAGTCTATACGTGCGTCGCCGAAAGATCCTGTCACATTGACAAAACCCAGAGGAAGCGGTGTCCCTACTGTCGCTTCCAAAAGTGTATCGAAGTCGGCATGAAGCTTGAGGGTGAGTTTCGTTTTCAGGACCGTTCTTCTTCTATTACATTCAAGAGAAAGTTCGTTGTTATCTTTTCTATTTCTTCATTTCTTTAAACCAACACGCGTTCTTTTACTTATTATAAGTATTTGCTATATGTCAACTTATGTCATATTTTTGTTCTTCTCTTACATACGTCAATTGGATTGATTTGATTTTTTTTTTTGAGTCAAGTTTCGACGAACTTTCTCTTTTACTTAAATCTTACAATTTACGTTCGTCGCGTTGCACAGAGAACAGAAAAAAATAACAATGATGATGAGGGCGTATAGATTAGGGTCGTACTCTAACTTTTGCGGATGCTCTAACGAAATAAATATAACGTCACTCGTATACGAGACATATTACGAAAATTCCGAAGGAGAGAAAAAGAAAAAAGAAAATAACGCGTTGCAAATGTGGGTGGTTGTGGTTGTTGGTAGTTGACAGAATAGTGGCGCGAAAAGAAGATATTGCACAATTGTGTACGGCAGATATAAAAAAAAAAAACGCGCGTATTGCTTTGCTCGGTGTCAGGAAAAATTTATGCGTATTTATTTATCATTAATTTTACTCTTAAAACCTTTGATCCAATTCGCGTTGTACCAAAAAAAAAGACT